AAATTATAGTTTTACTGTATTTGTTATTTTAATATGATTTAAATTTTTTTAAATAAAATAATTAATTTTCATTTAAAGATTTTATTTAAGGTGATATTTAAAAAATTACAATTTTTTCAAAATCATAGGTAATTGATTTTTGTTTCCTGATCACATATGATTTAAAGCGTGAAAAAGAGTGAGTTGAATTAAACATTGAAAAAGAAAAATAATGGAAACATCACCACATGTGATATATAACATGACACATTTAATATAAACAATATCACATGTATTTCAAAACATAATTCATAATTTATAAATATCATATATAATGTTTTAGACAAATTACATTTATTTTTCACTTAAATTTACTATGATCAATACCACATATGATATTTTGATGAAGATCAATAATTCTTTTTTAGAAAAAAAAAGTCAATTGATTATGAATATTACATGTGATTTTTGACGAAAGATGTAAAAAATCTTAAATAAATTACTTCAATAAAAATAAATAATTCAAATGAAAAACTAAATCACACTTATTTTAAATGTCATAAGAAATAAAAAATGAAAAATCAATCATGCTTATCACAAAATTTGTATTTTTTTAACAAATAAATATCTTAATTAAATAGCATTTATAGAATTAAATGAATTTCAATATATAATCCATACGCAACAAATGGACATGCCATTTAAGACGATTTTAATTTTTTTATTTAAGGCAGTATTAAAATAAATGATTGATCTATAATTATTTTATTATTTAGTTAGTATTCTCGTATAAACCTTCTCTTTAGACACACATACACACAAACACACACATAAATATAATGTTTCATGTTATTATTTGCCTATGTCAATGTTATAATACAGTTTTATGTGGTTTTAAGAAAATGATAATGTTTTTATGTTTGAATAAAATACAAATTTAAAGATCTCATAGAAGTTTGAAAAAATACATTGATGTTGGTATTAAATTAACTATTTAAAAGTTCTTGTTTTTTTGTATAATTTGTTTCATTCAAAATTTTATTATAATTAAATATAAGTTTAATAACGAAGTAATTTATTTTCAAGTCAATAATGTAATTTTTTTTATAGAGATACTAATTAATTATTTTGTTAAAACTCAATTATTATTCTAATTATAATTTGGATTTTTTTATTTAAAATAAGATTTTTTATACTATATTTAAA